ACCGTATATATTACCTCCGTGATTTACGGTAGCCGGTGGTTTGCTGCTCAGTGCACCTTTTGTCAATTCGAGTGGTGACCCTGTTGCTCGTGCCGAGGGCTCGGACGCACCCCCAGCACTGCGCTGGCCCATGCCAGCCTCTCTTGGCCCTCAAGAGTCGCGCTATTCACCCTACCGGCGTTACTTTGACGAACGGGGCGTCCAGATCCGAGTGCGATACCGGGCAGTCGGCGCTTAATATACGCCGGCACATACTCTCTCGGACACCACCCACCCTGCGCCTGCGCGCCCACGCACATTCACGCAAAAAACACAGCAATGCCGTCGACAAGCACGCCAAATAAACAGAAAACACGGACATACATACAAACACGCACGTCACATCAGAAAAACTCAAACAACTCGATCGATAGAACGGACCAACCCTAGCCTGTTACCTTATGAGCACGTATCCCTCCAAGCCGCACGCACACCACTCCGCTGAAAGGCAGTCAAGTCGCGGTCAAGACCATCCCTGTATCCCTCTGCTGGTTGTCTATTGGTACGCTCTACCACGCGGTGCTCCGTATCACATCGATATGAGATGGTTTGCTTCGCGCATATACCTCTTGACGATGACAACCGTGTGAGTTCAGTGTTGGTTTGTGCGTTGTTTGGTATTTGTACTTGTGTGTGTTTAAGCGTGGAATGTGCACCGTTGGTCTAATGGTTAGGATTCATCCCTTCCAAGGATGAGGTCGGGGTTCGATTCCCCGACGGCGCATCTTTTGCCAGCTGTTCTTGCACATCCCCCGTCTTTTGCGCGCTTTTGGGCCGATGCGCGCGCCTCACGGCGTGCGGGCAAGCCCCCTCGACCTCTGGCTCGTGGCGATACTTGTTTTCTCCTGTTCAGCTGCGCCTGAACGCAAGAAAACTGCAGACGCAACCACGCGCTCCCAGGGCTAAGTTGGTGGGTTGGGGGCGGCCCGCACATGGTGTTGGACAGTGCGTGGTGTGTTGTCGGTATCGAGTGGGGCGGTGCGTTGGCGTTGGGGAGCGTTTTGTTTTGGCTAGGGTTGTGGTTCTTGTGGGGTTTGTTTGTGGGTAACATGGGTATTGTCTGGCGCGCCGTTGGTCTAATGGTTAGGATTCGTCCCTCCCACGGACGAGGTCGGGGTTCGATTCCCCGGCGGCGCACGCCTTCCCTTGTTTGTCGTGACCGGTCAGCGGTCATCGAAGTCTGTGGATTGTTGCTCGGAGCACCTTTTGTCAATTTTGCTTGATGATCCTCTTGCTCGATGCCGAGGGCCCAGCCGCATTTTCAGCGCTGCGCTGGCCCATACCAGTCTCCCCAGGCCCTCAACAGCCGCGCCATTCAGCCTACAGATGTTACTTTGACGAGCAGGACGCCCAGATCCGAGTGCGATAGTTTGTGCTTGCTACACCGACCCTACAGGGTTGCGTTGGGAAAAGCTCACGGGCAGGGAGGGGTATATGCGTAAATCGCCTCATATCGATATGATTCGGAGCTCCACCAGCTAGCAGCGTACCAACAGTCCAACAACAGAGGGGCTACAGAGACGACCTCGACATCGCGTTGAGCGCCTTCCCGCTCCAAGTTGGAGTGGGTGTGCGTATGGCTCGGTGGGGTGCGTGTTCGAGGGTGACAAGCTCGGGTTGACGGCTGTCGAAGCGCGCGATCAATCGAGTTGTTTGAGGTTTTATGATCTCGTGTGCGTGTTTGTCTGTCTGTCTGTCTGTCTGTCTGTCTGTCTGTCTGTCTGTCTGTCTGTCTGTCTGTCTGTCTGTCTGTCTGTCTGTCTGTCTGTCTGTCTGTATGTCTGTATGTGTGTAGCCGGTTAGTTTGGCGCGCGTGTTGGCGGCCTTGCTGTGTTGTTTGCTTTGATGGGTAGGACAGGCGGTGTTTGATAGAGTATGCGTGGTTGACATGGTTGTTTGTGCGTCGTTTGGTGTGTGCTTTTGTGTGTTTGATCGTGGAATGTGCACCGTTGGTCTAATGGTTAGGATTCATCCCTTCCAAGGATGAGGTCGGGGTTCGATTCCCCGACGGCGCATCTTTTGCCAGCTGTTCTTGCACATCCCCCGTCTTTTGCGCGCTTTTGGGCCGATGCGCGTGCCTCACGGCGTGCGGGCAAGCCCCCTCGACCTCTGGCTCGTGGCGATACTTGTTTTCTCCTGTTCAGCTGCGCCTGAACGCAAGAAAACTGCAGACGCAACCACGCGCTCCCAGGGCTAAGTTGGTGGGTTGGGGGCGGTCCACACAGGGTGTTGGACAGTGCGTGGTGTGTTGTCGGTATCGAGTGGGGCGGTGCGTTGGCGTTGGGAGCGTTTTGTTTTGGCTAGGGTTGTGGTTCTTGTGGGGTTTGTTTGTGGGTAACATGGGTATTGTCTGGCGCGCCGTTGGTCTAATGGTTAGGATTCGTCCCTCCCACGGACGAGGTCGGGGTTCGATTCCCCGGCGGCGCACGCCTTCCCTTGTTTGTCGTGACCGGTCAGCGGTCATCGAAGTCTGTGGATTGTTGCTCGGAGCACCTTTTGTCAATTTTGCTTGATGATCCTCTTGCTCGATGCCGAGGGCCCAGCCGCATTTTCAGCGCTGCGCTGGCCCATACCAGTCTCCCCAGGCCCTCAACAGCCGCGCCATTCAGCCTACAGATGTTACTTTGACGAGCAGGACGCCCAGATCCGAGTGCGATAGTTTGTGCTTGCTACACCGACCCTACAGGGTTGCGTTGGGAAAAGCTCACGGGCAGGGAGGGGTATATGCGTAAATCGCCTCATATCGATATGATTCGGAGCTCCACCAGCTAGCAGCGTACCAACAGTCCAACAACAGAGGGGCTACAGAGACGACCTCGACATCGCGTTGAGCGCCTTCCCGCTCCAAGTTGGAGTGGGTGTGCGTATGGCTCGGTGGGGTGCGTGTTCGAGGGTGACAAGCTCGGGTTGACGGCTGTCGAAGCGCGCGATCAATCGAGTTGTTTGAGGTTTTATGATCTCGTGTGCGTGTTTGTCTGTCTGTCTGTCTGTCTGTCTGTCTGTCTGTCTGTCTGTCTGTCTGTCTGTCTGTCTGTCTGTCTGTCTGTCTGTCTGTATGTCTGTATGTGTGTAGCCGGTTAGTTTGGCGCGCGTGTTGGCGGCCTTGCTGTGTTGTTTGCTTTGATGGGTGTGAGCGCGCAGGACAGGCGGTGTTTGATAGAGTATGCGTGGTTGACATGGTTGTTTGTGCGTCGTTTGGTGTGTGTTTTTGTGTGTTTGATCGTGGAATGTGCACCGTTGGTCTAATGGTTAGGATTCATCCCTTCCAAGGATGAGGTCGGGGTTCGATTCCCCGACGGCGCATCTTTTGCCAGCTGTTCTTGCACATCCCCCGTCTTTTGCGCGCTTTTGGGCCGATGCGCGTGCCTCACGGCGTGCGGGCAAGCCCCCTCGACCTCTGGCTCGTGGCGATACTTGTTTTCTCCTGTTCAGCTGTGCCTGAACGCAAGAAAACAGCAGACGCAACCACGCGCTTATAGAATTAACTCTCTCAGTACCCGTACGCTTAGAGGTCCAGTAGGACCTCTACGAGAAGTACTCCTTGTCATTCTATTGGCTCAAATGTTTTATCATGATCGAGATCAGGTGATTTGTTACACTAAGAGGTCGAACGAGCCCTGTTAGTTGTGTCGAATTTCAGTGATAAAATAATCTACGCGCATTGGGGGTGGCGTTTTACACCTACCACACTAACATTTAGAGGTCCATAAATACCAATAATTAGGAGACACCGTGTTCACGTCTACACATGGCAACATTATGCGTAAGGCGAGGGTGTATGCTTATCACGAATCAGTGTTGGTTAGGTCAGTGGCGTCACGTGTGCCGCTGCAACCTTCGGCGACTTGATGATGTCCTGCTCCTAGTAGAAGTGGTGTAGATAGCCATAGCGAATGATGTTGCTAGCGGAGCACAGTGCTTGCGTTTTACGACGGCTGCGGCCATGCCGTCCGTGTCGCGTTGTGGCCGTGGTAATGGTGGTCTACGACGAGTTGCTGGGTGGTGGTGGCGGGCTGGACCAGCATGGTGGCGATGGGGACTTCCGGCGACTCGAGCTTGTTCTGATCCTGAGGGTGCTTGTCTGCGATGACGGTGGAATTGACCACGGGACGTTTCAGTCTGCGAGGAGTGGTGCTGGTGGATGAACGTGCTGGCCGATGCCGGAGCTGGCGGTGTGCGAGGGCTACGGTCATGACGTCCGTGCCAGTGTTTCGGCGTTGTGGCCGTTGTCATGTTGGTGTACGACGTGTTGCTGGGTGGTGGCGGCGGGCTAGACCTGCACGGTGGCGATGGGTACTTCCAGCGACTCGATCTTGTTCTGATCGTGAAAGGGCTTGTCTGCGATGATGGTGGACGCGACCACGGGGCGTTCTAGTTTGTCAAGGAATTGTGCTGGCGGATGATCGTGCTGGCGGATGGCCGTGCTGGCCGATGCCGGTGCTGGCGGTGTGCGAGTGCTGCGGCTATGACAGCTATGGCATTGTTTCGGCGAGGTAGCCGTGGTTGTGGTGGGCTACAAGGTGATGGCTTAGTGATGGCGGTGAGCTCAGCCAGCGGTGGAGGAGATGACGATGTACGTCCAACAGGTTGAGGATGTTTCCATCATGTATGCGATAGCAATGACCGTGGTGAGTTAGCGGTAAATCGGCAACGTAGTTTTGTGCAGTGACCGCAGTGGCTTCAGAAATGAGTGGAATTGGTGCGGAGGCTTTAGATAAGTAGTTTGTGCGCGCACACAGATTTTGGGCGTAGAACTTCGCGGTGAAGCTACCGAGGACAAAGGAGCAGATGGTTACCATTTAGTCGGGATGTACGCTACGTGCAGTTCCCAGCGGTCAACCAGTACCAACGCGGCATCATGAAGTGGTGTTATGTTAAGGTGCTAGTAGCCCGTGATTGGGGCTGCGGACGCCAGATAACAAAAGAAAACATGTTGATAAATCCCTTTAATTACTTGGAAGCTATTCCTCCTCTTCTTCGCTTGAACTTTGCCCTTCCTGCTCGTCCTCACTGGCATTCTGCAATCCAAAACTGGGTCATGAAGGATTTCAATGAAGTGCAAGAAGTTGACTTACCCGACGAGCCCAGACCCGAGCTTGAGCACGCTGATTACGATCTTGGCGCTTGGCCTCAGCTCGGAATTCGGGGGTACGAACTCTTGTGGGCTCAGATGAGTTACGGCGCAGGGCCTCAGCCCGGTCTTGGTGTGCACGCAGTAGGTGCTGGGCCTCCGCTTGGTCTGCGGGGGTGAGATTTCTTACAGGTTCAATAGTATTATGCCACGGGACCTCAGCACTCATTTCTTCGCCATCATAGAACCATTCCACTATCCGGATATACAGATAACGCCGGTCGTCGGGCTCATCGGCGACAAGTCTTGTCGCTGGAATGTCGGGCTCGACGTCCGGAATCACGACTGGTTCTAGTTGTTGGAGGGGTTCCGCTAGACGTCTTTCAGTCAATAGCTCCGCGTGCTGCAAAGGTTGACCGTGCTCGGATCGCCCTTGGGATAGTCGGTCAGCGGCCTCGACCTGATTGGGATGTTCGGATCCTTGTCGTACTCCAATCTCTGGTCCATGGGGATCCAGAGCAGTAGCGCGGTCTCGGTTAGGCTCTGGGGTTAGAGTGATAGCGCGAGCCTGATGTTCAGGAGCCTCTCCTACTCGCGTTTGCTGCACTTGCGGCAGGGCAGTCAGAGGATGCCGGGGTTGCTGCTGCAGCTCGGCAAAAACATTCACGACATCAGCTCGTATGATATGACGTTGTGGTACCGATGTAGTACCATTTTCTTTTCGGTTTAGCCGGATGCTGCTGGGTGGGCCAATACATTACATTACATGCCCAAATTTCGCTCGCCGGTTCCTCTCACTATCAGCACGACGGGACGTGTGCAAACATCGCCTCGCAGTGATCAGCGGCTTTCTGCATTGAGGCTAGATGGACAGAACAATTTATGGGCATCAGCACAAATAAGTGCTACGGATGAACTCGTTTGCCAGCGACGATCGTTCGTCTTGCATGCTGCAACTTCATGAAGCTTCTCTAATGCCTCCAGTAAGCGTCTTTAATTCAAAGCTAGCCAGTGAGCATATGCATTGGGCAGCACTACGTCAAGCCACGCTTTCGCTCCCAGTGGGGAAGATCAGCATCGACCATCAGCAACATGCCCGCGTAGCTACTGTAGTCCACTCAAGAAAGGCAATGGAAATGTTTAGAATGCATCTGTAAGGTGTCCGTGAATGCCAATAATGGTAAAACTAATAGTTGGTAAGTCACTGGCAGTTCACAGCGAAAGCTAGGCGGTCAGTTAGTTGACAGTACCTGCTTCTAGGCCTCCTTGGGCCATGACAAATTTCGGTACTATGCGTTATCAACGTAAGCGTAATATGACTCACACGAAGCCGTGACGCTGTTGAGCACAAGACATATCTGGTGCAGGTACGGGTTGGCTATCATCTTTTCAATTGAGTTGAGTACGACTCGGCCCTCGACCTCAGTGCTGTTGTTCTTGTTAGCCCAATACCCTTCTCCTGTGTTGTATTTGCTAGAAGTGGTGATCAATGTGCCGAGGCTCTACAACTCGCCGTGATGATGCTGGAGGAGCCCCCAGGACGTAACTGACGCATGCTCGCGGAGGATACTGCGATGTCTGTCGAGTCACCGATTTTGAGATCTCGACCCGATCCTGCGTACAGTTTGTTGTCCAGCGTGGGTGTGGGAAAGTAGGATAAATCGGCGTGATATTTTGCGCCATGTACAGGCCAACCGTGCACCACCCACAAGCGATAAATTGATGTCCGTGAAGGCGAACGACTCGAGCAGCAACTCTCGGCACCATAGGATAAACTCTACAATGCACTGTTAACACTGTCGCTTTGCGAATGCATATGCAATGTAGCTGCGTCGGCATTTCTCCATTGTGCACTTGCTACGTATAGATCTAACAGCCCCCGTAGAAATGCAAGGCTGACTACACGCTGATGCGCTCCTGACCAGAGAGGCCCAATTGCCCGCTGCTTCAAGCTACTGATCCGCCGGCTGCTCCAGCGGAACCCTCCGCCCGGCTCTCGGAGGCTACAGGACTGTACCCGACGGTGCAGGCAAGCCACAACGACTCGACCAGGTTGGCGACCGCGCCAAGGTACGTAAAGGAGGTCTAGGTAGGTTAGAGAGCAGAACTAGCGAGAGGCTAACCGGAAACGAACTCAGTTTGGAATTTGCTCGGTAGAGAGCTTTCCGTTGGAAACGGATCAAAGTTAACTTTAGTTTCTCAGTTCTACACGGTTCAAGCTCCGCGTGAACGACTTCGCGCGTGACCAGATGGGAGACAAAGACGACGTCAACGTGGACGAGCTGGCAGCTCGGGCCGCGGAATTGCAGCTAGAGAGCGCGACATCAAGGTCCCCGCGCTCCCCGGGTCTGCGGTTGCAGATCCCAAACCCCTTCGAGCGAGAAGATGAAGTCATGGAGACAGTGAGTCAAGCGTCACCTATGCAGTACGCCCTTGACGCTGGTGCGTCACGGGTAGCGGCGGCACCAGCGTTGCTGCAGCCACCCCGGTTCGAGGGGCGCACGATGCAAGATCGTC